AAAAAATTGTGTTTAGATTACTATGATTTTCGAGATTATGAGTAGCATATCTGAGGTGTGGTGACTCAGGGCATGTGATACCACCCTGTGTTACTTCAGTGACTTCCAAGTGCGACGGCTCAATGCACATGATATCATCATGTGTCGCTTCAGTGATCATGCATGTACCACAAAAGTCAATACTTTGTTTCAGCATCACTTGTTTCACTTTCATCATCAGAGTCAGAGGTATCGTCACTCCAGGTTGTAGCAAGTGATTTTCCTTGCTTTTTCAGAGTGTTTGCGCATTCAGCTTGAACATGACCATAACCACGACATTCTCTACATCGAATCCCCTTCCTGACTTCTTTCTTGTTTGTAGTACTTCTACGTTTTCTTTCAAAACTTGTAGGATGATCATTCGTCTTCACAAGTTTTCCAAAGTTTTTAGCTATTAGAGACATGGATTTCGTTAGCTTGATTTCAAGTGTTGTCATAGGAACTGAGGGCACATATGGAGTAGTCACAGCAACTGTTTGTACAGCAATATTTCTTTCTTTATCCATTTTACTGATGTTCAGCTTGTTCTCAAATGTCTACAAATTACCGATCAGATCTTCAAGTCGCAATGAGTCCACGTCACTTGCTTCCTCAATAGTTGTGACCTTGTATGCGAATCGGTCTGGCATTGATCTCAACACTTTACGGACAAGCTTGACTTCAGGATAAGTTTCACCAAGACCATGACATGAGCTTCATTCGAGATATCGCATAGTTTCGAATTAAAGTCGCTTACGGTTTCACTCTCCTCCATTCGAAGATCCTCAAAGCGAGTAGCGAGCATCTAAAGTTTTGATAATCGAACAGAGGCTGTTCCTTCATAAGTTGTTTGTAATTTTTCCCATGCTTCTTTGGCACACTCACATGTTGAGATGATTTTGAATTGATTGATATCAATTCCATTGAATATGGCATTCAATTCTTTGAAGTTCATATTTGCGGCAATCAGCTCAGTTTTACTCCAGTCTTTTTCATGTTTCTCAGTTTGAATTCTTTTTTTATTTGTGGCAACAGGTCGTTTCCAGCCAGTCAGAACTGTGCGCCAGGCGTCTTCATCCAATGACTTGATGAACATCTTCATCTTGGTCTTCCAATAGGAGTAATTTGTTCCCGTAAGCAGTGGTGGGCGAGTAGTGGAACCTCCTTCCATATGAGAACTCATCGCTTCTGTAGAGTAAAAGGCAAATAAATCAAATTCTTAAAATCACACACTATGTATATCTAGTGAGAGGCTCTTGATGCCAATTGAAGATTTATATATCTATAGAAATCTATTAACCTAAGTTGTAACAGTTACGTTGTGGAAACAGTATTCAGTTACAACTACAATTCTTGTGATCACACATTTATAAACTATTGAAAGTAAGTAAATGAACACAAGAATTTAATATGGTTCAGACACAAATGTGCCCTACATCCACGTGGACATGCAAACACGTTTTTCACTAGTTCAGATTTACAGTGTACATTAATAGGACTTATTAAAAATAATATAGACTCTTTCTTTAATTTTTACGCCGTTCTTGTACACAACTCGAACTCCGTGTTTCTCTACCGCATCTCCACTCCGCGTGCCTTGAACTTTCTTCAAGCCTGAACTCCCTTCAGAAACGCGGCTGATCTCCCTTGAGATCTATACAGCAGATCTGTATATGTTGGCACACCCGGTGATGGCACAGTCCTGCTCCGCAGAACGCCTTTGCTAACCTTCGATGCTATGAAGTGGTTTTTGTTAAATAAAATGCACACGGTTCTTATATGTGTTGGAGGCTTATATAGCCACGAAAATAAGCCCTATGACCTAACTTGAACCCAATGAAATCTTTTTAACTAGGTAATAGAATCCGAGTTGATTTCTACTTCTATTCTAGATAAGTACAAAAGATACCTAACTAGAATAAAATACATGGAAATAAATTTAAGTCCTAATAGAAGTATTATAAAATAAAACTCTAATAAATTCCAAAATAAACATGAAAAACAAATCTTTGCCAATCTTTTAATTCCAAAACTCGGCGGATTTCCTCGATCTTCAATAGTCGGAAATCTGGCGCCAACAAATTCTATATAATTTCAAATCTTGCAAGTAAATCTCCACTTAATATATACATTGTTTTAATATACGTACTTTGCATAACACATTGCGGTTGGTTGCATCCTTTGAGTTATGTTCGCACCGTTAGTCATTCAGTGTGCATATATAGAACAATGTTTGACCAAATGTTGCCAAACCAGGTTCGTGAATTTGCTAATATTGTTGATAATATTTTTTACCATATTGTTGATAATATTCGCAAATTTCCTAATATTTGTTTTCAGTTCATTTGGATTCCATATATCACCACTGATGTTTAGTACCAAGAATTGGCTTCGAATTCGACGATTGTTTCACCATTACTTTGGATGTCTAGTTGTCCACTTATATGTTATTCACGAGTGGAGATGCATCGTCGAAGAGAGTATTACGACAGTTCGGGGTGGTCCAACCAATTCCGTCACATTCTACAGATGTTGTTATTTCCAATCAATTACATGATTTGACTCGTCAAGGTCGACCAGGTCTGGACTGGAGCGAGTATTTGAGTACATATGTTGCTAAATGGCAACAAAGATTTTAGATTGTCGGGCCATTTCAACCAATCAATGGACAAGATACAGAGGATGGTTATGAAGCGTGGTATGATTAGCACACTCGTCGTTTTGTATCACCGATTGACGATTTGATGAGCATTGGTTTTCAGATCGGACGATTATGAATTTGGTGGTACGTGATCTTTTATTTCATTCATGCAATTACATACAATTACTCGATTTCTATAACTTATTTTATAATTCATTTCAGGCTACTCAACTAACCTCAATGAGCACCAATATGCTAGAAATGCAGCCTATGATCAATATGCTCAACAGGACCGAGATGCCTTCTACGAGTGTCCAGGATGGAGGAAGAATGAGGACTCACAGCCGTACTCAAAGGTCTACAAGAGAAATGAACGATTTCACTTACCGAGATGAAGATATGGCCGGTCCTTCCACGTACCGAGAATGCCGGTCTTTCGACATACCGAGATGAGGCCGGCCCATCCACGCTTCGAAATGAGCCCGATACTTATCCCGATTCTACTGATGATGTTTATATTCCGACCACATTTTCAAATGGATACACTAGTAACTCCATACCAGTTATAGGAAGAATAGAATAAGAGAAAGAGAGAAATAATAATATGTAACCCATTATCTTATGGGTTGATTACATGGAATATATATAGAGAAATATTGCAAGGTAATAGAATATGACTAGGTAACTCCTAACTAATCTAGGTAACCGAATAATATTAGAATTCTAATATTACAAGAGTTCTATAATATAATATTCTCTAACACCAGTCTGCTATGAACATGTATTCATGGAATGAATTGTTGGATCTCAATTTAGGATATTTACAAGGTGACGAGTTTGCACATATGCATTTCAATGTTTTTCCCGTTCCCCATCACCTCCCATCACCTCAAGGTCATTCTACCAAGAACTATGTTGCAAACGCTATTGAAGAGGATATTCCGCAAGAACCAGTGGGTAGAGTGCGTAAACACAGGCGTCCGCCTAGATGTGGGACCACTGGACATCTCGGACGTCATTGATGCATATTTTTTTAAGTGTTTTAGATGTTTTGTAGTAGTTGACATTGTATATTTTATATCTATGTATTCTTATATTTATGTGATTTTTATTTAATTATGTGTGACTTTAAATTTTAAATTCTCAATTTAGAAAAGATATATATATATATATATATATATATATATATATATATATATATATATATATATATATATATATATATATATATATATATATATATATATATATATATATATATATATATATATATATATATATATATATATATATATATATATATATATATATATATATATATGGGTAAAGGCAAATAGACCCATGACAAGGGCACTTAATTAAAAGAGGGACATCCAACTATTTTGTCTTTCAAATAAATCCAGCTCATTCAAACTTATTTGCAAATAAGGAAAATCCTTTTATATATACCAAAATTACCCCCAATTCATTGAAACTCAATTCAACTCCAATTTCATGATTTACACCCCAATTTGGCCCAATTTCATCAATTAACCAATTTTAACCCTAATTTCAATTTTGACCCCAATTTTAACCCTAATTCTTATCAATTCCACCCATTATGCTCTAACTTCCTTAATATTACACATTGACCCCGGATTTAAACAAATATATCACATTAACCCCAAAAAAATCAGAAAATATTTTTTTCTGAAACATTTTTTTTCTGTCCAGATTCCGGCGTTGACCGGAATCTGGCCAGAAAAAAAACATTTCAGAAAAAAAAAATTCTGAAAAAAAAAATTTGGGGGGTTAATGTGATATATTTGTTTAAATCCGGGGTCAATGTGTAATATTAAGGAAGTTAGAGCATAATGGGTGGAATTGTTAAAAATTATATTATTGAGGGTATTTTAGACTAAAGACATGGGGATGGGCTTAATTGAGAGACTGTTTTTTTTGTGGACCAAAATGCATTTAAGTCCCATGTGATGGGCCTTTTTGCCATATATATATATATATATATATATAAATCACATGCATGAGAGGCGATTTCTGCACAAGTGAATTATTTTGTCAGTTTTGGCCAAAAATCGCCTCTGGCAATAGAGACTTGCACCACTTTTGGAAATCAAGAAAAAATCACACTATTTTTGTTAAGCATTTCCACTCTTACACCAATTGTGTAAATAACCCCAACCATCTTCACACTCAAACATGTTTCGATAGTACTTTTTCTTTTTCTTTTTTCCAATATTGAGTACTGCCAAGGCCCAAAGCTAACTGATCATGTTATTACTTATTATTTGGCTACCCCTTTCACAATTATACCGATAATTCAACTCACATACTGCATAAAAAGTAACAACCATCAGAAGGAGATTCACACGTCCACAAAAAGTTTTAAATTACAAATTGCGCCAAAAAGAAAAAACAAAAAAAGAAGAGCACTAAAAGGTCAAAAACAGAAAGTAAAAAATCCAGTAAATGCAAGAAAATTCAAGGGAAAAGATAGCTAGCGAGCATTGCCCTATGAACAAGTCTGAAGAACCTCAGAATTTGTCTACATAAGCTCTTACAAGAACAAACCAAAAAGTAACAGATACTGCAAATGTAAAATAGCCCCACTGTCAAACTAACAAAAAAACGAGCCTCGCTTCGAAAACAGTTATTATATCAGATCATCGTTTTCAGCATCAGGTGCTTTACTCTTCACCACCGTAGAATTCGAATCCAGTCGATTAATCTCCTTCATTTTCTGAACAAACTTCTCGGCTCTATCTGGATCGTCATTTTCCTCGAAATAATTAAGGAATAATTTAATCGTTTCACCCGTGGGAAACCACTTACTATTCCCCGCATTCATTTTATCCAACCCCATCTCCAAATACTTCATAGCCGAATCAATCCCACCCTTTTTCAAGGATAAAATCGCAAAGAAATTCAGCGTCCGTAAATTGGGCTCGATCTTTCTCTCCACCAAACTTTCGTAAAGCGAAGAGGCTTTTTCAATCATGTCACGACTTAGGTAATATTCCATAAGTACGTTCGGCAGCCTAAAATCGAAAGTGGAGCACCCTTCTTCCCACTCGTTAAAAACCTTCTCGAGGTTTTCTTGATCCCCGGATTTAGAGAGAGCCAAAAGCATGAAAAGGTAACTCGTACTATTGGGTGTTTTAAAAGTCGACTTAAGATCCTCCCACGCTCGATTAACCCCCGATAAATCGTTCATCGCGGAATAGAGCTTCATGCGCGTGCGGTACGCTTCGAACAAGTCTTCGCCGCGTTTAGTTTTCGTTTTCTCCATTATTTCGAGATAATGGACAGCCTTGTCATGCACCCCACATTTGAAGTATATGGTCGCCAGATTTCCGTACGTAAACAAATCCAAATCCGAATCGTTACTTTTCATTTTCTCTATAACTCCTTCCACGGCATCTATATTCTTCAGAGCGGCGTAACTGTTGATCAACAGATTGTACGTGTAGAGGTCAATGGGAATATTCCTCTCCTCCATTTCTTGAAATAAAGAGATGACTTTTTCGGGCTTTCCCACGGCGTAGTAAAGCGAGAGCATGTTGTTGTAGTTTAGAGTGGAAGTGTAATTCGACGCGTTCATCTCTTTAAAGATTTCCAAACCCTTGTCGAGCATTTTCTCTTTGCAATAGCAACTTAAGAGCGCTCCGTACGTTTTGTTGGTTTTATCCGATGCTTGGAGGGCGTTGAAGTAATTTTCTGCAGCGGCTATACCGTCGGTCTTGCAGAGGAGGCTAATGCGTATGGCTTGATCGGCGTTACTTGTTCCGAAGTTGGTGCTTTCCATCCAGTCATACAGCTGATGTGGATAAATCGGACCCAAAAAAAAAAATTTGACAAAATCGCAAGTCAGATAACGTGCAGTAATTACACGTTTCAAGAGGGAAAATGAGTTTCGTAAGCCAAATAAAATATGCCTGTCTTAATATCGTTCTTAGTCAGCTGAAACCCCATTAAATTTATTTCTGATTCGTTAGAAAACTATAGAAAGTTTATACTTTTATGGTCAACAATTAGTTCTTGCAACGACAATAAGAAATACATATGCTATTGAATTCAGAAATCTATACTTGACCTCTGTTAGAGTAAAACTATATCTACAAAATGACGAATACTTGAGTTAACAGAATCGTAAATTAAGGATTAAAAGGAGCATGCGTTTTGCGTTTACTGGCTTGGCTATAAAATCTTCTAACTGCTAAACATAATAAAATGTGAACTTTCTCTAAGTCTCGTTTTATAAAGCGTCGTGCGAAAACCCCTTCTTAAACAAAGCATAAGATGTACAAAGAAAACTAAATATACGATACATTACAGGCTGCATTTTTGCATGTTTTTAATTAAATAAGCAGAGATGCATTACACAGTAAAACATTACATCAGCTATAACATGACATTCAAAGCCATTTCTCCACCAATGAAAATAATATTACTAGAAAAATCAAAATTCATTTTTTTTCTGGAATGCCCAATATTATTTCTCTATTTTCTCAAAGAGAAAATTTCAAGCAGAATCGCAATTTTTCATCTCAATAATCCAAATACAGAGACAAAATCAAAACCTGGAGGGCGGCGCGGAAGTTTTTGCGGCGGCGGAGATAATTGCTGAGGTTGAGGATATCAAGTTTATCGACATCATTTCCTTGATTCACCCATTTGTTCAGAATGTCTACCACACTGGATTTGGAGTTTCCCCTAGCCACTTTATAGAAGAGACCGTTTTTCTTCTTCGATTCCGGTGGCGGCGTTGATTGTTCGACCACGGTGCACAACCACCGTGGAGGTGATAATGATGGCGGCGATTTTTGGAGGAGGAAACGGTTTATGATTCTCATAATCGTCATTGAGGAAAAGAGGGGCGGAAGGCGAGAAAGGGTTTAAGCAGCTGGGGTTCTGTCAACTGTGTTTTTATTGTAAAACAACGTTTGTTTGATTGTAAAACATTTTTTATTTTCCTCATTTATTTATATATATATATATATATATATATATATATTTATTTATTCAGCTCATTTAGATTTATTTATTTGCTAATATATATATATATATATATATATATATATATTTAGTCAGCTCATTTAGATTTATTAGCTAATAAGGAAAAATCTCACATATATACAAAAATTACCCATAATTCCTTGAAACCCTAATTCAACTCCGATTTTATGATTTATACCCCAATTTAGCTTAATTAACCAATTTCAACCACCACCGTCGGTCAATTGACCATTTTTTCTTTTTCTTTTTTACATTTTTTTTTCAAAACCTTTCTTTTTATGATTTTTTTCAGTTAGGTCAGCCGCCGTTGACTTTTTTTTTTTTTCTTTTTTCTTAACTTTTTGTTTTAAAAACTATATTTCATTAATATTACCGTCTTGGCTATAATATTACTGTCTAAGACAGAGTTATATTGCAGTCAAATACAATAATATAATTGTCAAATACAATCCTACTGTTGTTAACACTATAATATTACTGCATCAGATAGTACTATTGTTATTAACACAGTAATATTAATGTATTAATTATTTTTATCATCTTGGCCTGCCATACTGCTGTCTCCGACCGTAATATTACTGTATTCGACTTAATATAACTATTTGGGACAGTAATATTATTGTTTGACATATTCAAATATAGCTAGCTGCATGAACAGAACTTTGTTAAGTTACTACAACAAAGTCTAAAAGTAAGAACTGATTAAAAATGGTGATTAAAAATGGTGATGATAGATATATATGGTCTCAATATAATCTTGGAACATTAAAAACATCAAACGGGTCCATTTTAAGGTTTATGTGATTTATTAAGACCTGAGCGACCGCGTTAGGTATTAGCAATCGTCCGGCTGCACCTATGCCTGCCTTTATTCGTTTGTCCTTAAACCAAGAGCTTAAGATGATGAAATCTCTTAGACAGTAATTTTATTTTATTTTTTTTTTTTGAGTAAATTCAAGTCCATTACAAGGGGAAGTTGGGGAGGGGGGACTCGAACCCTAGACCATTACCCTATTGGTAAAGGCTAGGTATCAACTCTCCTAATGAGGGTTGGTCCTTCTTTTTGGCGCTAGACAGTAATTTTATTATTAACACACTAATTTAGGTAGAAAAAAAAATTACAAAAAATAAGTTTTAAAAAAAAATCAACACCAGAATCTGACTGGAAAAATAATTTGAGAAGAAATTACTTTTTAAAAATAATTCTTTTTTCAAAAAATTGTGAAAATGGGATTAATGTGATATATTTATTCAAATTCAGAGTCAATGTGCAATATTGATGAAGTTAGAGCATAATAGATTGAAATTGATGAAAACTATATTATGAGTGGTATTTTAGCCAAAAGACATGGAATGAGTTTATTTGCGAATTTGTTTTTTATCTGGACATACGTGCATTTAAGTCCCTTGACATGGCCATCTACGTTATTTGCCCCATTTATTTGTGGAGTTTTTATGAATAAAGACAAACTCAATGTTTATGCTAAAATAACCCCAACCTTTTACATTCAATTCTTAATTTAACTACAATTTTATCAATTTGAACCACAAAAATCCAATTTAACTTTTTTCTAAAAAAATTTATATTGTCTGCTTTTTTTTTTCCACCGCCATTGACCGACGGTCAACGCCACCTTTTTTTTTTCCCTTTTGTATTTTTTTTCTTGCTTTTATTGTGTTTTCGCTCGCCGCTGACCGTTGATAGTAATATTATTGTGGTTGACGGTAAAATTACTGTAAACGCAATAATATTACTATCAACCACATCAGTATTAATTTTTTGTTTGACTTTTTTTATTTTATTTGATTTGTTGATCGGTCAACAGTCAACGTAATAATATGAAGGGGAATAATGAGTCCCATCTTCCTTTAATTATATGAACTATTCTCATATGACTTTGAGGGTTATTGTGTGTTTTTTATTTATTTTTTTATTTTTACAAATGCAGTATAATGAAGTGATAAAAGAGAAGGAAAGCATATATGAGGTAGTGTTCAGAGAAACTTGTTCTTTAGAAACTCAACAATAGATGTCTTAACTTCCCCATAGCCTGTAATAGCTGAACAATCATCTGGTCACAATGCATAAAGTGTCTAAGCTATGATGATATGATCGGTTAAAACTTAAACCCAATTGTCATACATTCACTTGACCACACATATGAAGTACTAGAAAATAAGGGTAAATTACAACCACCCCTGAGGTATGGTTAATTTACGAAAAAAATCTCTCTTGTTTGAATAATTACACATAACCTGTCAGCTATGATTTTTTCTTACACCTCCACCCTTATGGTGTCAAATTCAACATAATCATCTAGATTTTATGAAATGTGCTCTAGAATTTGTACTCATTTTGTATAAAACTACAGTTTTTTATGCACCTCAATCTGATATATACAAGCTTAAAAACACATATGATGATCATCTTGTTTCAAAATGTGGAGTTCGAATAAGATAAAACGGGTACAAAAGTGATAATAATCCATATAATCTCTAAAATTCCACTAAATTTGAAACCGCAAGGGTGGACGTGTAAAAAGATTTATAGTTGGGGGGCGGTTGTAATTACCCAAACAATAGAGGTTTTTTTGTGATTTGACCATACCTCAGGGGTGATTGTAATTTATCCTAGAAAATAATTTAAAATTGGCCACAATATACACTTATGTAAAATCTAAACTTAGAATTAAACAGAACACGTTTTTTTCCAATCCAATGTATTACAAAAGAAGCATATTGTTACAACATTTTCAGTACATCTTTACTTGCAAGCCAAGCTTAAAACAAAACAAGATAAATATTGCATTTAAAGGAATAAAGAATAATTCAAATAACCGCTATTTTTTAGAAAATAAGGTTATCAATATCCAGCAGGAAAGCCGCCTTTTCGTTGGTCGCTCACCGCAATAAGTTGACCGGAATCTCGACCCTCTAACTTTTGAACCACAAACTGGCATATAGTCCAATCGGAAACCCTTTCCAATTCATGACCCTTCATTTCCAACTCCTTCAGCATCTTAGAATGAAAAAAGTACTTTGTACCATTTCGAGATATGTATTCCTCGTGGTAAAGCACATTCGGATATAGCTGCGTGAACAAAACTTTGTTAAGTTACTATAACAAAGTCTACAAGTATTAGAAGCTGATTAAAGATGGTGATGATAGATAGATATATATATATATATATATATATATATATATATAGGGTCTCACTGTATGATATAATCTTGGAACATTTACAGCAACAAGCGGGTCCATTTTGAGGTTTATGTGATTTATTAAGACCTGAGCGACCGCGTCAGGTATTAGCAATCCTCCAGCTGCACCTATGACTGCCTTTATGCGTCCGTCCTGGAACCAACAGTTTAAGATATGATGAAATGTCTCATGCAGTAATTTTGTTGTTAACACACTAATTTATGTAGAAAACAAATTACAATAAATAAGTTTCAAAAAAGAAAGAAAAAAATCAACGCCAAAATCTAGCTGAAAAAAAAAAAACTAAATGCAAATGTCTGTTGAAAAAAGAAACTGAATGCATCGAATTTCTCACCTTGACCAAAATGGTGGGTGCCATTGATGACAAAGGCCTCTTGAACGGTTGAATAAAATTTGCAGGAGATGGCGGTGGGGTGGTTGATTCGGGGATGGAAAAATCATACATTTGATTGTTAAGAAATATTCCAGTACTCGCTGACATTATCTTTGATCCAAAGTACGAATTCAAACTTATAGTCATGGTAACAACATTGCGTTGACTATCTACCGCGCAGAGATGTGTTGTGCCGTGATCATATATCTGACTCCATCTGCACAAGTAAACTCACAAATCATTACAACTATTGAAATTTATTTTAATTCATCACAAAGATATCGAGGATGAATATGATAACAAACTAAAGTGCGCTATGAATCTCTATTATTTATAACATGTCATGGATCGCGACCAAACAAGTTCATTTATGGTATATATTCTTTCCCGAAGAAGGTAAGAACCGTTTGAAAAATGACATAAAAAAAGTTGATGGTATCGTAAATGTGGAAGAAACAAATCAACTCAATTAGATTACATATCGGATCACTATACATAATGCGTACTTGCTACCATAATGCGCAGGATCATATGTTTTCTTGTCGTTTATGCGTTTCTTCAACCCTTTAGCATAGTTTGTTGAGATCATGTTTTTCAAGATACTAGTGACATTTACAAATTGAGGGTCCCCAAGACCCATCCTCCTTGCAAGTGCATATTTCAATGCCTCAACAAAACGATGCTTCCCCAATGAGTTTGTAACGCCGGTTTCTTTATAGTTAGAAAGAATCTTAAGAATCTGTTGACAATGAAAGACAAATATTAAATATGAACTCAGGTCCAAACCTTACCATATAACTGAGAATTGAACAATTGCTTACAAGAATTAACATGGCACCCCCTGAAGCAGGAGGTGGTGCTGTAATTATTTCATATCCGGATACACGAGCAACCAAAGGTTTCCTAGTAATAGCTCGATATTTCTGAAAGTCTTCTTTTTTTATTATTCCACCCGCCTTTTGGATATCTTCGGTTATGTTATGCGCTATTGAGCCATTATAAAATATATCCATACCATTTTTCGATATAGCTGCCAGCGTATCCGCTAATTTTTTGAGGTACATGGTCTTTCCTTTAGATAATAGCTTTCCGTTGGGAGCAAATATTCTCCGAAGCTCCTTATTATCCATGATAATTGACTCTGCACAACTCATTGCCTTGAACAGAGATGGGGATATTACGAAGCCTTTACGAGCAAGATTTTCGGCCGGTTTTACGAGTGATTCCCAAGGAATCTTCCCATACTGTTTGTGAGCTGTGTAGAGACCTGCCAGCTGTCCTGGAACAGCTATTGACAGAGGACCCTCTTCCCATTCATAAATATCTCTATCAAACATATCCTAGGAAATTGCGGACAAGGTTTAGTGGGTACAAAATAACGGCGAATGCCCCAAATTAAACAAGCTTCGTGAGTTTCGTAACAAATCGAAAAATGTAGTACTGTCAAATTATCTTTAATTGATAGTTTCAAGGTTGTAAAAAGCGCGGTAATCGGGTCGGAGGCGATCAGGCACCGACTCACGATTAATCGGTGCGGTGGTGATTAATCTGTGATAAATCATAAAATAAATCGGTTTTTAAAATTTAATATAATATATTTCTAGATATTATTTATAAATACTCAAAATATATCTAAAAAAAGATATTTAAACATAGTTATATCTCCACATGTATATATCCTAATAACATAATAAAAGTTTAATAATAATAACATCATAATACATAAATATCCTTATAAAATATAAATAAAAAGGCAAATCTTTTGAATTTACATTTATTCTTGAACATTCCTGGCATACATCATTAGTTCTTAACAACAATAATAGTTAACATCAAAATAGAGCATACACTCATATTTTTTTTATTAAAATCCCAACTTTTATTTTGAATTATTAAAAAAAAAAAATCGATTTTTTGCAGATTTTTGCCACCGAGTTTGACCCGCCTTAAAGGTTTGACAACCTCAGACCGCCTCAAACTGCCTCAACGGCAAAAGATCGATTTTTCAAACCTTCACACTAAAATCGTAAAGGTTTTGGTCCGTCTCTGCCTCGAAGACCGATTAATCGGTCGCCTCGGCCGATTTTTAGAACACTGGATAGTTTTAGGGAAAAAGTTGAGCCAAAAAAAATGTACCTTGGAGGCTCGGCCAGGTGCCATTTCTCTCATGTCGAACACTTTTGAATCGCCAGTATGTGATCTGACGAGCATAAATCCTCCGCCACCAAGACCACTATAAGATGGGCTAACAACTCCCAAGCAAAGTGCAGCTGCTACTGCTGCATCAACAGCGTGGCCTCCTCGTTTAAGTACGTCTCTTCCGATTTTAGAGCACTCTGTTTCATCAGTGGCTACAACACCATTACGTGCTACAACTCTCTCCTCTCCGGCAGCATCGATATTTGATGCCAAAAACATAAGCAAGAAGATAATGGCAAAATTAAGTAGAGATGTTTGACAAACTGCAATCAAGAAATCCAAGTTCATTAAGGCTACATTTACGATAAATTTCTAACATCAACAATACAATAAAATGTTACAAACTGACTAAACATGAATGGATTTTAAGAAAATCAAAAGAACAAAAGCAGTCCTATAATACATACAACTTCAACTTCTGGTTTCAAATATTCTTCGGGTATATTTTTCAAATTGTGAAGCATGCGATATAATCGTTCGACCAATTAAGCGTATAATTGAAAAAGATTCAAAACATATATACCAATGTACGTACGACGGAGAAACATTGTGGAATGAAAAAGAAAAGTACTTGACTGAGATTGGTAAATGATAAAATCTAGAGAGTAAAATGGTCTCTTGAATTCAATCATAAGTACTAACTAAAAAGATTAACTCGAGAGTTTATCAATTTATCATCACTAATCCCTCTTCTTGATATAATAATAGCAACAAAGTTGACCAACTATTTTCCTCCTTGTCAAACAGTGGTGGCATTGAATGTTTTTTTCTCTTCATTTAGACATCGCAAAAATAACATGCCATTAATTAATAGGGTAAATTACGACCACCCCTGAGGTATGGTCAATTTATGAAAAAATCCCTCTTGTTTGGATAATTACATCTACCCATCAACTATGATTTTTTCTTACACCTCCACCCTTATGGTGTCAAATTCAACATAATCATCTATATTTCGTGAAATGTGCCCTAGTTTGTATTTGTTTTGTGTAAAAGTACAGTTTTTGATGCACCACAATCTGATATATACAAGCTTAAAAACACATATTATGATCATTTTGTTTCAAAATGTGGAGTTCGAATAGGATAAAATTGGTACAAAAGTGATAATAATCCATATAATCTCGAAAATTCCACTAAATTTGAAACCGCAAGGGTGGACGTGTAAAAAGATTTATATTTGAAGGGGTGGTTGTAATTTCCAAACAAGAGGGGTTTTTTTGTAATTTGACCATACCTCAGGTGTGATTGTAATTTACCCTTTATTAATATTCAGCTTCTCCAATGAGGAAAAATGGAGCAAAGTGTTATGTTTGTTCAAAAGTCAAGTCATTCTCATTAGGTCCTAAAAATCATTAATGATTATTTCTATGAATATTAAATAGAGTTTCATCAGTGGTATAGGCAACTTTCCCATGGCAAATCATTGTTAAATTCCATGAATCATCGTTAGTGGGAAGAAATGGCGGGAAGTTAGATGCTACACCCGCTTATTTACATTGGGAGGATTTCAACTGTAGATTTGATTAAGTAACCACTCACAAAGTACACATACACATGAATGTGTGTGTAATTATGTGTAGATCTACATATTTATCTGAAGGGCATTTTTGTCTTTTCGCGAGCGGTCAACAGACAAAAACAAAAAAGGGTCGAGTGTGCCTCATTGATAAATGTCTTGGAAATTACTAACATTATCAACATAACTCTTGGTTTGGATCCACTAAAACCTTTGGGCATCCACATTGCATTTAACTCAAAAAACAAATGTCGATAGTCATTAAACATAACCACAAAAAAAAATATAAAAGTTTAGAACAAATTCATGAACCAAAGTGACTAAAACCCCTCTGTGATCAGTAGTCAAAGTCATAAACCCCCCTCTATCTCATTCGTGTCATGCACGCGCTACCAGCGCGATGACCTTTTCCACCACATGCTCTGTTTCTCACCACAAGTTGTTTTTTCATCTTCACCATCAAAAGTTGCAACATCTCCACCTCGTCATTGTATTTTCCTTCTCTTGATAACTTCTATTGCTGATGACGGTAATTTTTTTGTACGCAACAGAGTTATATTGCGATAAAATTAAGGTTGGGCATTGGTCGATAATATCAGCCAGCCGTCCCACTTTCGAACTGATAATTACCCTACCAACCGACTATATTAATTATTAAATTTCATAGAAAAATGTTCACTTACAATGAATTTAATAAAATTAGTGATAACATTATTTTATTAAAAAGACTTGAGAGTTAGTATATATATATATAAAAGATAACCAACTATAAAGTATAGTACAAAAAATATAGCATAAAATACACTTTACCCCCTTTTAGTCCTATATAACACTTACCTCCATGTACTATAAAAAATACACTTACCCACTAAACCGAACTAAACTGTTACACTTACCTTTTCTTATTTATACACTTTCCGCACGAGGATATTTTTTGGGCCACCATGGGCACCCGACTTTCTGCAACGTGGAGGAGTTTACTTAAAGCCCGGTCTTATCTCCTAGCTGGAATCCGTTCGGCGAGTTGGAAATGGGAACGAAAGGGCAATATGGGCTGACCCGTGGTTATGTGATGACGGTAATTTCAAGATATTAACGAGACGACCACTAACAACTAGCTTCCCTGACAAAGTATCCGACCTTATTGGTATGGACACAAGGATTTAGATCCTTGAATTAATTGATGAGACTTTTTGGCCAGTCGATAGGACTAGAATCATGGATATTCCGATTGGTAGTAACGCAGCCAGAGATACGTGGATTTGGCACTACACCAATCCCGGTTTTTTAACATTTCGTTCATGCTACCACAATATTTTATCTAATGGATATAATGCCAGCAGGTATTGTGGACGTGGCGGCAAATCGAGTAGCAGGGAAACAACTCAAAGCTGGAAATTCATATGGAGAGGAGAATGTTGTTGGTGGGCGGTTCGTAAGTTTATAGGACAACCTAGAGCAGTCGATTGTGAAGCACGCGCAGCAGTCGAAGCTCTCATACAGCCTACAGGCTAAAGCACGAGGGTGGAATTCAATTATCCTGGAAGGCGATTGCTTGTAGGTCATCGATGCCTTGAAGTACGGTGATCTTATTCCCACATCTTTTGGAGCATTAATCGAAGAGACGCTAAACATTACTAAGGTTTTCATCGTTTGTAATTTTCTTTTTGTCAAGCGGAGTGGAAACTATTTAGCTCACGCTATTGCCACTAAACTTTGGCCAAGTTGTTCTGAAGTAGGGGTGAGCAAAAAAACCGAAAAACCGAAAAACCGAACCGAAAAACCGAAAAATCGAGCCGTTTTAAACCGTACCGAATAGCAAACCGCATGTACGGTTTTTTATTTTTGAAATACCGGATTATTCGGTTCGGTATGGTGGAAAGGTAAATAACCGAACCGAAAAACCGAACCGAACCGAAACTATAAAATGACTTCATTTTATATAATATATGTATTATTTTACCCTAAAATTTATTTTCTATCTTTCAATTACTTGTCTCATTCTAAGCATTTGTTCATAAATTGAGGCATTGTATTTTATTTATTTAGTAATTAAAAATTTACTTGCGTTCATGGTTTTAATAATGTGGTAGACGAAAGTAGGAAAAAAAATGAAGCATAATACATCATCTAAATTACGTTAAGTCCTATGAAATTAAAGATTTTATATTTTCATTGCATTAGTAAGTTGTGAAAGTAATTGTAATTGTATTCTTTTGTTTGTACAACTTGAATGTATAGTTACTCTTGAACCGGAAAATAACCGAAACCGAACCGAAAAAAACCGAAACCGAACCGAAACCGAAAGAAACCGAACCGATAAAAAACCGACATACACGATTTTTAATTTTACAAAAACCGATATATTCGGTTCGGTTCGATTTTTGGCTAAAACCGAACCGAACCGACCCGTGTACACCCCTATTCTGAAGGTTCAGTCCTTCCATTTCATCTGGCAAGTGCCTAATAAAGATTTATTCTTAAAAAAATAAAAAACATAAAAGGCTAAAATGTGTATTCACCATAAATTTCACATCTAAACTTGTTTTCTTTACCTCCATAACTCTATTGCCTATTGCAACGGCGCAATCAACTGGACGTCGGCGGAGTATATATAAATTAAGATCATTAATTAATATAAGAAACAATTTTAAAACAATTATAGGATTTAAAATCTGCTTTTATTTATTACAAATCCATCTCTCTCATTCTGAAATTTAAGAGACCCCATCAACAACTCGACTCACGAGTCACGAGTAATGACAGTCACCATAAGCTGCAGATAAATGATAAAATATTAGAACTATAATCTATGAAACACAAACACAAACATATATATATATATATATATATATATATATATATATATATATATAAACCAACAAGTGATGACTTACAAGGATTGGTGTTTGTAATCTTGCCAAGATATTCATGACACAATCCCGCCTTCTTGTAATCCATGTCGAGAAGATAAGTAGCGTGCCTTCGTGCTCTTTTACGACGATTGCAGCATGTTAGAGTGGTGTGACAACGACCTCCGGGTTCTATTGCACTGCAATTTCGTTTGTGACATGTTGTCCATGTGTACTCCTCCAAATCGTGAATGGAAGCCCTTTCTCTTGCCACACACCATGATGATTTTGTCGAACTAAGAATTTCATCGTCATCTATCTGAAATTAAGGGTTCAAAAACAAAAACAAAAAAGAACAATTAAAATTGTTTATGAATGAAATGGTCGAAGACGTTTTTAACTAAAAAAAATAGATTTGTATTAGTCGTAGTAATCTTACACGACAAATAGCAACGCTAACCAACAAAGATAAGAGCCAAACGACGCTAGTTATTTTTCCCCTCGGCATTGCTCTAGTATTCGGTATTTAGATATTTGGTTTGGTGATGAGAAAACTTCAGTATAATAATTAAACATTAATATTTGTTCTATTTAGGGGGGGGGCGGGGGTGGGGGAGGGGATATATACAAGCTCCGATCCGTTGCGGTTTGCTTTTGTTTAGTTAAATTTTTGGGTAAATTACACCCACACCCCTGAGGTATGTTTAAATAACATTAAGGTCCTTGTGGTATCGATAATTACACTCACCCTCTTAAAAAGTAGTTATAAAATCTAATGGGATAATACATTGGATACATTATTACGATAGAGTTCTAACGGACTATTGGTTTCAGGAAGTGGTGGAGACAACAAAGAGTTATGGGTGATTTAAGAAATATTGGGGGAGCCATGTCACCCCATAACTCCCCATAACTCTATGTTATCTCCACCACTAGCTAAAAGTAATAGTCCATTAGAACCCTATCGGAATAATGTATCCAATGCATTATCCCGTTAGAGTTTCTAACTACGTTTCAGGTGGTGAATGTAATTATTGATACCATAGGGACCTTAAAATTATTTAAGTATACCACAGGGGTGTGGGTGTAATTTACCCTAAATTTTTTAAATGAAAAATTATTATCAAGGGCTAATTTGTATTTTACAAATTTTGGAAAAGAGAAATAAATATCAAGAGCTAATTTTTCCTTTTTCGTTTATGATGGAAAAAGATAGAAATACACATTAACATGTTAATGAATGGAAAATTGTATTGATTAGTTTTTGTTCTTTTGTCAAAGAACATGCACTTAAAACCTTTCTGTGTGTGTTTGTGTGTGTGTGTGTCTATATATATATATGTGTGTGTGTGTGTGTGTGTGTGTCTTTTCTACTAAACTGCATGTTAATTTATGAAGTTTATGTATATTTTCAATTAATGAATCTAACATTTTTTTCTGAAGTCTTTTTTCTCATTAATAAGTTAAGCTAACAAAAAATGTAACATACACGCGCTCTAAAGCGAAGGCTAAATTACGACTATTCCTCTAGCATAAAGTCAAATTACGAAAAAACTCTTCCTCTTGTTTGGATAATTACAACCACCTCCATCAACTATTAATCTTACCCTTATGGTGTCAACTTCACCATAATCTTTTTAGATTTCGTGGAATGTTCTCTAGTTTGTACTCGTTTTGAGTAAAAATGCAATTTCTGATTGTGATATTTACAAGCCAAAAGACACAACTTAAGATCATCTTGTTTCAAAATATGGAGCTCAAATATGGTAAAACGGGGCAGACACTGAAGAATATTCCACATAATCTAAAAATTTCCACTAAATTTAACACTACAAGGGTGGAAGTTGTAAGAAGATTCATAGTTGTGGGGTATGTTTGAAATTACCCATACATGGAGGGAATTTTTCATCATTTGACCTTACTTACTTCAAGGGTGACCCTAGTTTAGCCTAAAGCCAAAGAAGAAAAAAGTGAGTGTAAGCTTTGACAAATCTGAATTTGAATGTTTCCACAAAGGGTCTTTTCAAAGAATTTTCAGAAGATTACACCACCAGTTACGAAATTTTACAAAAGTGACGATCAAAAGGCGAACACAAACAATAGTTTTCCTAAATCATCAATCCTGGTGCTCGAATAACATTTGATACTACAAACTTCCTTAAATTACCGTCCTAACAATTTACAACCTGTTAGTTAATGAGAACACTCAGATTGAATTTCTAACCACGAGCTGCTCGGAGGAAGTTGTCAAAAGGGCTCGTAGGTGGCAACCTCAGCGCTAACCAAGTATTTGCCGCTGGAACATTTTCACCGTTGCTTATCTGTACAAACAATTCCTAAAATATGTTAAAATTACTTCCGGAAAACCCCTTAAAGTAAGACTAAATAACTTACAACCCCCTGTAGTATTTGTAATTACAAATACCCCCTAAAACTAACAGCCAGTTATAAACCCTAAAGGAGTGAATGAAATGTCTAAATTACCCTTTTAGAAAACAAAGAAACTATGGATAAATTAAGGGGTGCCTACTGGAATGAATGAAATGTCTAAATTACTCTTTTAGAAAACAAAGAAACTATGGGTAAATTACAGGTACACCCTGGGGTAAGACTAATTATGGAAATTCAGATTGAATATTTCATGGAATCTTCAAGATTCCGTTACTCATAGCTCCGTAAGGGTGTAATTGTAAGACGGAGAAATAGCTCGAGGGGGTAATCGTAATTACCAATACCACAAGGGTTTGTAAGTTATTTAGTCTTGCGTTCGGCGGGTGCCCGTAATTTAACCAAAAAAAAGTAATAAAATAAAATTAAAACGTACTACTTGCAAAATAATAATTAGATTTACCTTGTCGATAACTGAAAGCCCGTTAGTCGCAGGAAATGAAGGGACCAACATACCGTTGACTTTTGTGGAATTATTGTCAACGGCCAACCAATTAGAAAGCTTCTTTCTCGTGTCGGTGCCAAAGGCTTCGCACTGATTCGTCATTGTGCTGTACGGAAGCGGTGACGTGGACACAGATGCGCCCGCTACTTGACCAGCTACCTCGAGCGCCTGAAACCAATTTTTTTATTACATAGTACAAGAAACAAAAAATTTCTTTCACATTTAATTTTCTATTGCAATTCGACAAAAAAGGGAGAATATTTTTTTGGGGGAATTAATTACCGATTCTAGAAGCTGGCCGATGCTGACAATATGGGACATCGAAGGAGATGGAGAAGCGGGTATTTTGGGTATGAAACGAGATATATCAGCAACTGATGATATACTCATTGCGTCGTCTTCAATTAGTGAATTAGCAGAAAATTCCTGTGTAGAAAAAACAATTATAATCATTTTTTTTTTGTTGTCAACGAAAAATAGAGTTTATTGCATTTACAACCCCTGTATTGTATCAAATTGCTAAAAACTCCCCCTGACACAAATATTATTAGCAAAAACACCCCTATGATGCATTTTTTCGGGGGGTAGTTTGCTAAAACCGCTTGCTTCATAGGGGAGTTTTTGCTAATATTTATAAAAATAGGTCCCAAATTAAAACAAATAAAATGAAGAAGAAATATATATATATATACCCCATCGAAGGATAGTGTTTCCTTCGAGTGCGCAACCCTTTGGATATGATCCATGTCGAGCATTGATTGTGGGCCGAACAAGAAAGCTTCGTCCGGTAAAAATTCTTCCGATAGCTGCTTAGCAATTTCTTCTGCCTCAAACTTCAAATCGATAAAAAAAAAAAAAAAAAAAAAAAAGTTGTTCATATTAGCTCTCAATTTAAATGACATTGAATAGTCACGCACGAGCGACTTCCTTTAAATATTAAATTAAATACCTTTGTTACGGCGGACAAACCGTCGACTAACGTAGCAAACACAACTCTGTCGGATTCGTAAGCCTTTTCCCGCACCTCGACTAGAGTCGTCGAAGCTTCTTCGTTATCAGAAGCACTTCCGTAAGCAGTCGCTTCGGATTGATGCTTTACGTACACTTGAAATTCATCGGTTATGCCGACGTACATATCCACCTATATTTTAATTTAAAAAGAAAGAATGCTAAAAACGTTAAAAAAATGGTGCGGCATAATCAATATAATGGTAATTAACTTACGTCGGAGTCGAGTAACAAATTATGCAACGTATGCGCCTCGCTAATATGATACAGCTTTACAGCGAACGTCAACATTGCAGTGGATAATACAAGAAGCGATCTTTGATAAACTGGCGGCAAGCATCCTGCAATTAGAAAAAAATACGTCAAACGTAAGACTTTAATTGCGTTCGCACAGAAAGAAAATTATCGAATAGTGTCGCAAACCATTTGTCGAGTATAAACACATCTTTCTAATCGACAGAGGTAGCTGAAAGAATCTGAGTACTAGGTTGTCGTTTGGATTCTGCAACAAAGTGAAATTGAGTCATTGTTATTTTAACAACCAAATATAATTCAAGATATTTCAAATATATATATATATATATATATATATATATATATATATATATATATATATATATATATATATATATATATATATATATATATATATATATATATATATATATATATATGGTCAAGACTAAGATTGAAAAAAAATCGTAACAAGTAAAATTAAGAAAACGGAACGGAACTTTACAAAAGATTTGCCAAAAAAATACAATTAATCGAACAACTAAAAAGATAAAGACGACAGTACTCTAAATACAATTAAACCTCTATAAATTAATACAGTCGGGACTAACAAAATTCTATTAATTTAGCGAAATATTAAATTATTGAAGTTATAATTTAGTATGTTTTCACCGAGTCGGGACCGCGAGAAATTATTAATTAAGCGAGATTATTAATTTAACGAGTATCAATTTATCGAGGTTCTACTGTACTTTTACTATATGAAGCAAATAAACGATGAAATGTAACTTTTAACCTTAAGCCGCGAAGAAATAAGTGCTAAACAGAACGAATGAGCCATAGCTTCAATATTAGCAGGTAGATTATCGGGAAGATTGACTTGTATCCATAAAGCCGACAGCAACTGCGCTATTTGATCCTCGTTGCATTGCAGAAAATATTGTTCCTGTAATAAATAATTCACAATAAACATTAATTTAACGACAAGAAAGAAAAAATTAAAAAAAAAACAAGAAAGTACGACGAGGTTAAAAAAATCGTACATTCTCAGACAAGGTAAGAGATGGTCCGTTTGACCGGTCAACGATCGAGCTTATTATGTGCATATTAGGAGAACTCTTGTGCGACTTTCCATGCTTCGACTCTTCGTCGATTTTTTCCGTCGCGTTATTAGTATTAGTGCCACCGTATACTTCGAGACGAAGCTTATCGAGCAGAGATGTAATTGAGGAAAAAGTGGATGCGCTTTTGCTATGCCACCTCCTTGTATGGTTGGAGACGTCGTTTCTTGCATGGGCAAAGCTTGGGATTACAAGTATACAGAATATTTGATGCCCCCCGACACGTATTTCTATATCGGGATGCAACATCACTTTCAGCAGTTGAATGAAAAGAGCGTCCGGAAACACCTGGAAGAAAAAGAAAAAAAACGAATTTTGATTAGCCTTTTGAATGGAGTTTAAGGCGGCAAATAAATAAAAAATGGTTTATTGCACTCGGTTCCACTGTGTTGTGTCGAATTGCTAAAACACTACCCCCGTGTTATTTTTATTGACAAAAATACCCCCGTTATTGAATTCGTAGGGGGGATTTTGCCAAAAAAAACACTGCATGGGGTAGTTTTTTAGAAATTCGGTATAACACGGGTACTAATTGCAATAAACTCAATAAAAAAGAGAAATAAAAAAATAAATTAATAATATTATTATTCGAAGATACTCACTTGCTGAGAGTGAAAAGATATAGAAGCCAACGAAATGACATGAGCAAGAATTATAAGAGACGCAATTGCTGCTCTGGCAACAACTCGTATCGGAGAAAGTTTCTCGAGTGTAATTGCCATCATATCGAATAGCGGCCGCACATCAACAATCTGAATATTTACAAACAAATTAATAAAATTAAATAAATAAATAAGATAATAAAAAAAAAAAAAAATAGAAGTGTAGTTATACATACCCCTCTGACGGTTTCCAACAAACAAGTTTCGATGGAAGTTTGTAAGGAAGCATTTAGATTGAGTTCTTGATCCCCAACTGATTCAGCTGTTGCTTGAAAGCTTTTGCGCAGGTGTCTGAAGAGATCACTAACGAATCCCATATCGGAAATAACTGCTTCTGACCGAATTTGACGGGCCAGACAGCTGGCGGTCTGGATGATGTGGCATTTCATCTGTGGATCGTGTGCTACATTCTTGTGGTCCAGATGCCGAACAACCCCAGCTAGTATTAACTGCTGATGCCCTGTAAACGTATTGTAAAATATATCCTCGTCAGCATTTTCCGGGATTTTACAATTCATTTTTTTTTCTTGGATTAAGCAAATATTTTCGAGTTATCTATTGGGATAAAATTAAAAAGATTAAAAATTAAGAATTTAAAATTTAAAAATTTTAAGCAAATATATTCGGATAAAATTAAAAAAATTAAAAATTAAAATTAAAATTAAGAATTAAAAAAATTAAAATTAAGAATTAAAAATTAAGAATTTAAAATTTAAAATTTAAAATTTAAAATTTAAAATTTAAAATTAAAACGAATTTAAAAAATAAATAAATGTGAGAAATGAGATGAGAGTGTGGGACAAATGACCTGGATTTTCAACAAAGGATGACATATCGGAAAGAACGACGTGGGCCAGGCCATGCTGTGGGACCCAGTGCCTTCTCATGTCGAAATAAACAAACATCGGTTCCAATATTCGTCGCATTGTCGTGCTTTCTTTCGCCAGATCAACCATCCTTTGTATACATATTTGAGCCCAAATTTTTGGCGTCTCAATCTCCTCTCTGAAGTCAAACAAAGTCAATGAATAACAAATTAAGTATACTACTTTAGGGGCAAAAATGTCATTTCACTTTCAATACATCCATTCATATAAGATTTTTAAGGAATCCAAACCTTGTTAAGAGAGAAGGGTCTCTCTTTTCAGGCTGGAATCTTACGATCATGTGGCTAGGGCTGAACTCGCCACCGACACCTGTCATAACACCTCTTCCCTCGGATCTTGCCACCTCATCAACCCAATTATGATGCGCCTCCCTTCGTTCTTCGTCTTCTTCGTTTTGTGACTCTGTTTCGTAGTTATCGAGAGTAGCATGCACAATCTACATAGGGTAATAGATACATATCATTGACCATTTAGTCATGCTCCCATAACTTTAATCAAATGAACTGACGAATGATTCAAAAAGACATTTTAGGGATGAACACAGTATAGAAACAAGAAGTTGACTCGTACATCATCTGCTTATTTGATGATTTTAGGGACATAGAAAAAGTCAACACTTTATCGGGTAACAGCTATACATCCATTCTTTTGATCATTGTTGCCGTAAATTCCAAACAATTATGCATCAAATACTTGCTGCGTAGCAGATTAAATTTTAAATATCCCGACAAAAACAAGACAGACAAGGACAATAGTTTGTGGCGAAGTATATGAACTGTAGTGTTATTATCACTTTTTTTTTTATTATAATTACGACGATGAAGTTGTCAAGGGCAACAGAAAAATCAAAAAAGATACCATTTTATTTTTCTATTCTAAATGCAGAAAGTAGAGACGAACCTTTTCAAAGTCATCAAATACATGCGAGAACTCTGCCATGAACCAAACCTGCAGACAAGTGGAACCGACTTTTTAGTGCAACGAATTCCGAAAAACATCCTTAAAAACCACGCTCGTAAACAATAATGTGCTTTGAATGTTCAAAAATTCATTGACTAAATAGTGATACAAAAAAGTGATTATCTAAATTAAAAATTACCATGGCTGAAAGGCACCGCAAACTCGATGCCCTTAAACCACGCTTTTGATGCTCGTCTTCAGTCTTACGTGCAAGCATGCACACTTTATGAACAAAGTTTTCAATGTTGTGTGTATAAGTTCCATCCACCTGTACATTTAAAAAAAAACGTAACTTTCGCATATGCTTATATAAGCTAGATGAAACACACACTATAACTATGATTAAAAATTGTGTATAATTTAGATAACTGTGATTAATATAAGGCCATAAATTACCTGACAGTACACAAACGTAGTGAGAGTATCGCATCCCATTTTCTGGACGGAATCTTGCTTAGATTCATCCAACAGTTCGATAACTACGTTCACCAAACTAACGGCAAAATAAGCCCTGCAACCATGAAAAAGTCGAAAATATTAAAATTGCAATTACGGGTAAATTAAGAATGAAATTTTTTTCAACCTGAGATTAAAAATATTAAAAATATATTAAGTGTTACCGCATAATCCGAGTCAAACCCAATTACATGGAATAATAAACTTACGTTTGGTCCTTACAACTGCAGAGTAATTTGTTGTAAGCTTCGGCGACGATACCGACAAGTTTGATGTTGCCACTTCGAAGTTCTTTGTAACATTTTTCTTCAAGATATTTAGCAATCTAAAAGTAGAAATTGCAACGAAAAATTTCTCGTTAGTTTTTTTTTCTTTCATTCATTTGAACACAAACAAGTCGTACTACCTTTGGGATGCGGAAAGGATTTTTAGAAGCGTATTCACATAGCTTTACGATTTTTCTATCGTTTGGATGACCATCCTGCAGTCGAAGAAAACCACAAAATTTATAAATTTATAACTCGTTTCAGAAAAAATCCCAATTTTTTCGACTTTCTGACAAGGAATAGATTTAAATGTGAATGAGCTTAGCTTTCAAATGTATTCTTCTCCAATCCAATTTAATGGTTGAATTTCTATTCAATATATTAACTGACACTAAACCACACAAGAATTATTTCAATATTTTAATATTTTAATAAGGCCTCGTTTGGTTGGGGAAAATTAACTATTATTAACTAAATAATCGAAGTTTGTTTGATGTTTGATATCCCCAATAACTTACTGGGTTGACCCGCAAATATTATGTTATCATGGCTTATCGCGCCTTTTTAAGGAGCATATTTGTTTTACATCCCAAGATTCGATAAAATAACTGGGTTTTCATTATATTATTTAATCTTATCTTAGCAACCAAACGAGGCCTAAGTGTGCTAAGAAAAGTTCATAAAAAAATCAGAAACATGTTTACTATACTACTCATTTTATTGTTCTCTCCAATATCACCCCGTTAAACATTCGGTCCTCAAATGAAAACGCTGATTCACATTCACCCAATAAGCGATACCGAATATCTAAAACGAAGATAGGTATCTAAGAGAGAGAATGCCAAAAAATATAACTATCTTTATTCACAAAGGGGAAAAACGAAAAACGAAAAACGAAAACTCACAGGAGTTTTGGGGAATATTTCGGCGAGCAATTTCTTGTAACGCTTAACAGGCTGTCGAGACCGTGACCTTAATGCAGGGCAGCACACACACATGCTCTCACATGCCGGGAATATGTTGCGTGAAATCACACCCATCCTACTAAAAACAATACATTTAAAAATTAAAAAAAAAAAACAAAAGAAAAAAAAAAACTAGGGTTCAAGAATGTAAATTACACCTACATTAAATGGAATTAAAAATCACAGAAATTGAAGATCTAAAATACCATTCCTCACAAAAATAACAAAAAAAAATGGAAGTATATAACAAACACTATTCCTCTACACACACACACAAACACACTCACACACACACACACACAAACACACAAACACAAACACACAAACACACACACACACACACACAAAAAAAGAAGATTCTACTCATCATTTCACACAACAGAGATAAAATGCAGGACAACAGTTGGGAAAAGATCTAAAATACAAGTACAGCCAAAATTCAAGAAGCTACCTTATTTTCAGTACGAGGAAAAATTTCATAAACAACAGAGTTGCTGTACATCAGTTGTACTAAATTTAACAAATTTAATTTAGGAAGGAGGCAAAACCAAATAGAACACACAAAACAGTAAAAATAAAAACAGCCCAGAAAACGAAATAACAAACCTTTGTTAGAAATGGATAGATCTGGGTGAGCTAAACAAGAAAAACTCCCACCCACAAAGAAACCCGCTTGCGTTTTTTTCAGAGGAATTTCAAGAAACCCACACTAATTTGAAATTAAAGTTTAGCAACACAAGGGCAGAAATTGAACGAGGAAAGAGGGAGATTTGAAGAAAAGGGAAGGTAGAGAGAGAAAGAAGAGTGAGAGAGAGAGAGAGAGAAAAGCAAGAGAGAGAGAGAGAGAGGAAGCACGTGATCGTCAGAGTGTTTTTTTTTACAGTGTCTAAGGAGTCTTGCTTTTGTCTCTATCTGTCAGAAAAAACTTGGGAATTCCCAAACCCCATTTTCTTACCCAATGTGTTTACTTTTTCCTTTTAGTCCTTTGTTTTTTGAAATGTTTTCTTTTCCTGCCCCTTTTCTTTTTTTTTTTTCTTATTTGGGGGCATGGGGTGGGGGTTTAATATTTGTATGAAATATTTTCTTTTTTTCTTTTTACCTATATCCCTTTTTCTTTTTTCTTTTTTTTTATGGTTCAATATTTGTATGAATATTGTGTTGTGCTGTAAAATAAATCCCATTAGTTCATATAAAATATTATTAAATTATTTTCAAGATAAACGATTAATTATATCATTTATTAAATGTAGTACAAAGTATTTATCAATTAGGGGTGATTCAAATGGTGTGACTTTAATACTATGTTAAATGACCGTTTATTCATGAAGGAACTAGACTAGAAACTATTTTACAAAAAAAATCAAACAAAGTTTAGAGGTGTGTAAAAGACTAAAGGGTTAATTACACCCACACTCCTGAGGTATGCTCAAATAACTTTAAGGTTCATGTGGTATCGATAATTACATTCACCCCCTGAAACGTAGTTATAAACTCTAATGGAATAATGCATTAGATACGTTATTACGATAGCATTCTAACAAACTATTGGTTTCAGGAAGTGGTGGAGATAACAAAGATTATGGGTGATTTAAGAAATATTAGGGGAGCCATGTCACCCTATATCCCCATAACTCTATGTTATCTCCACCACTAGCTCGTGACATTTACATTTAGTTTTGATTGTGTTTGTTGCATATTTGGTTGCTCTATTTGTTGTTATGTCCTGCTAGGTTCATACAAGACGGAATAATTTTACTTCTATGAAGTTGTCACTATCCCAACAAAGTGGATGGTATTTTTCTTGAATGGCATCTCTACATATCTCATAGTAAAGGTTCATTTGTGCTTAGAAGGTGCATTTCATGAGAGTTTGCAGCAACATCTTTAGAGAGCATGCAACAATGGCAGCAACTGATGCAGATTCCATTATCAAGATTTTGTGATACAGTCCTATATTTCTGTAGTTATATATAGTCACACATTGTCATGTATATATATGTTGGGAAACCGAATCCTAGGAGCGCGTCATTGATAAATTTGCAAAAGAGTACTCGATATTAACGCTTAAAATTTTCTTACATGTGTTCATGAATTAATTCTAGACTAATTGTGGAATCATAAAAATAAATCTAGAACTTACATCGGGATTCGAATACGATCCTAAACGACGTCTTCAATTTCAACATCGACATGAAACACGAACAACGTCCTCCAGAATCACGAACGGGGCAATCCACACCAATCCAAAATCCTGTTGTTGCCAAGGAATTTCGAGCGGGGTTGCGAAATTCATAACTTTAACTTCGTGAGTCGGATGAACAATCCGTTTCCAAACCTTAAAAAAAATCGTGACAATCCAACCGTGGATGAAGTCGTAGGGTCCAGGGGCGGACCGTGAGACATTTAGGTGGGGGGGCTGAACGTATGATAAAAATACTGAAATATAACAATATAAAAAAATAACTAACTAACTGTGGTTTAATTTTTTTTTTGACAATAAACCAAATCTTCAAATAAATACGTCCAAAATAATTACATCATTTAAGTTGTGCTTACGTTTTTTCTTTCGAATAGAATTCTTCTATTATTGGAATATGTTCTAAAAAGATCAGCAATTCCCTTTTCCATATGTAGAAGCGTGCAATCTCCAAGGAACCCATCTTCCATTTTGTTCCGAATTCTAGTTTTGGTAAGCTTCATAACAGAAAAAACTCGTTCTGTGGTAGCAGTAGACACCGGAAGAAGTAAGATCAAACGAATCAACCTATCAACTAGATAATATACTTTGGATTTTCCCGTCTTTGTTAATCCTTCGCATAGTGCTGCAAGAGTAGACAAATGACATAGGTCTTGATGCTTAGTCATGTCAAGATGATAATGCTGCAATTGAAACTTCAGGAGGAGCCTATCTTGTTCTGTGAAATCTGCAGGATAATATTTCTCGACAAGAGTGCAAATATCATCTACTTTAAAGGACTTGAATGAATCACTTGGGTCCAAAGCACAACTAAGAGTTAAAAGTTCCATTGTTTGCTCATTAAATCTGCAATTTAACTCTTTCATCTGTGTGTCTATGGTAGTCACAAATATATCAAAATGAAAATGATGCTCCATCGTGATATTAGTATCTCGTGGCTGGTGAATCGACTTCCCCCGACCTACTTTATGAGTATAATTCATATCAGGCATCTCAACTTCATTACTTTGGCAAAATAAATTAACATCATTTAAAAAACTATTCCACCCATCATCCCTCAAATTTTGAAGAAGTTGTTTTGTTGTTGAGACTAAATGCATAGCATTCAATATGTCTTGGGATCGTTGTTGCAAAGCTTGACAAAGAACATCAGTAACTCCCATTATCCTTTCCATCAAGAGTAAGATAAAAACAAACTGAAAAGATGTCATGGCAGTATAAGCAGAATCAGCGTCACCGCGTTGGGAATAATTTGCTCCATCAGATATAATGGTTTGAAGCACACTCCCAGTAGCACTAAACATTTTCTTCAAGCTACACACAGAAGAAAAGTGGGAACCCCAACGAGTATTTCCAGCTCGTTGTAAATTGCCAATTTGATTAGCTCCACTACCAGTTTCAAGTTCATTAATAGATATCAAACGAGAAATTTCAACTTGTTGTGCAGTAATTAACTCACCGGTTCTCTTACAAGAAGCGCCCACAATATTTACAATGGTGTCCAACTTTGAAAAAAATTGATGAACAAGAATTACCTCTCTTGATGCCGCCACTAATGCCAACTGAAGTCGATGAGCAAAACAATGTACGTAATATGCATACGGACAATCTTTCAAAAATAATGCTTGTAATCCGTTCCATTCGCCACGCATATTGCTTGCACCGTCATAACCCTGCCCTCGAAGATTATCAATACTTAAAGCATGATGAGAAAAAAATGTTGAAAGTTCATGTTTAAGAGTCAACGAAGTTGTGTCTTTGACGCTTACGATATCAAAGAAACGTTCTTGGAGAACACCTATTTTATCAACAAATCTTAAAACAAGAGCCATTTGTTCCTTTTTGGATTCGTCTCGTGCCTCATCAACAAGAATACAAAACTTAGAGTCACCAATATCTTCTCGAATTTTATTTCTCACCTTAGAAGCAATAATATGCAATATCTCCTTTTGAATTGTCGGAGAGATGTACTTGGCAGTGGGAGGAGCTTTATCTAAAATAGTTGCAGCTACTTTTTCATTATAATTTGCCAAAAGCTTCACCATCTCGCGAAAATTACCTGAATTTTTTGACGTTGGGCCTTCATCATGGCCTCGAAAAGAACATGATTGATATGCAAGCCAACGAACACAGTCAATTGAGGTTTTAAGCCTCAAACGATTATTCAATATTTCTACCGATGACTGTCTTTGCATGACCTTGTCTATATGCGCAGATTGATTCATTAGATCCTCGCATGATTTTAAAGAAACACAATGCTGGGAATTATGGCCTCCAATATGGCGTAAAAAAACACAATTTTTTCCTTCATTTACTTTCTTCCAATTTCGAAATCCTTCCACCATAAATGTATTCGCGCCAAAACGTACATTTGTCTCACTAGCAAAAATAAAGCATGGCAAACAATAAGCAGCATCTTTAGTCGGAGAATACTCTAACCAAGCCGGAAATTTGGAAAACCATGCATACTGAAATCGTCGACGATTGCCTTCATTACCTGAGTAAGGATATTCAGGTAAATAAAATTGATATGGCCCTAACTTGATATAAGTACGACGAATTTCGTCCTGTTTTTCGACAGGATACATCCAAATTTGAGGTCTTTTTCCCGGATCACGTTCCAAAGAATTGATATCAAATTCTTCATTAAGCATAACCCCAACTGTTGTAATAGCTGTTGTAATAGCCGGTTCAGGACGTTCTTGTTCATGATCGAGAGAAGAACTATCAACATTAGATGTTGATGATTCTTTTTTATTACTTTGGAAAAAGGCGTGAATCGTATTATTTTTCAATCGTTTGGGTTGATTCGAAGACATTAGTACAATCGACCTACAATAAATTTCAAAGAATTCAATATAGTAAAAAATAAAAGCCCTTTAAATAAATTTTATAAATAAAATCATCTATGCTTCAATAAAATTCTTACATATAATTAAAGAATAAGAAATAATAAAATAAAAAAGATAAAAAGAGATGAAGAAGTTTGATAATTACCGTGAGATTTTTCTTCAATGGAACGAGGTGAAGAATGTGTGAAGAAGATACGGAGATGAGAGAATTAAAAGGGAAGAAACCTATTGTTAAACCAATTCCTATTTTAATAAAATTTTATTTGTTTTAAAACTCTTTCTCGAATTGAAATACAATTAAGATATTATTATATATTATTTACTAATTAATAAAATTTTCCAATTTTACTTTTTCTCGGCAGTGGCCTGATAACTTTATTCCTTTATCTTCCTTCCTTTTGTATTAATATATAATTTATATTAAATACTTATAGTGTAATTATATATATGTATATATAAGTAATATTTTTTTTCCAAATTCTTGGGGGGGCAACAGCCCCCCCTTCCCATACTGAGAATCCGCCCCTGGTAGGGTCCAAAACGCCCGGGGTTTCTACAGTAAATCCGAGAATAAACTTTTTGAATAATCCTTCTACAAGGGTGGTCTTGTACTTAAAGAATTATAAATCTATAGTTGAGAGACTAAGAGAGAAAGGAAGAAGAGAAAAATCACTTCCACCTTGGACGTGTAAAACGTGAATAGGGTTAGGAGACCTCTTTTTTCTCTCTAACCAAATCTTGTATATATAGATATCTAGAAAGAGTTTTGTGAAAGAAAATGATTAAGGAAACAGATGCTTTCTTTCACAAGTAATACACTGGCAGATTTTTCCTTCTTAAATTCAAGGGAAAAAATATTCTTATCTCTTTCTCCTATATTCCATTGGTTGATTTTTTTTTAATTAATTAGAAAATTCATCATACTACATTAGGGACTAAAGGAAAAAATATAATACGGGCAACTTATAATTAGCTAAATTCAAACTCTAAACATAATTCATTTTTTCACTACTAAATAATCATAGAACTCATGTTTAGATTCTGAAATATAACATGCGTGCTCAGGTCAACCATTACTTCGATTCTCCGCACATTAAGATATACTTAAATTAAATAATTTTTTTTTGTCACGAGTCTTATCCGCTTAACTTATTTGAGTATGTCGGATACAAAATCCACCTTGTCATGACTCTGAAACAATACTTATAAGCTAGTCAAGGGTTAATAATCAATTCCATAATTATTTAATTTGTCCGGTGCAACACATGTTGGATGTGCTAGCACAATAAGTAAAAACAATGACTACGAAAGTTATTTTCTGTTTACTGTGATCAAGACCAATCACTTATTATTTTAAGTTGAAAATGTAAAAACAACAATATAAAGAAAGAACATGACTATGTTGACTACAATCAAATATAGTTATATTCAACGTGGTAAACTTATCGGAAATAAAAATAAAATAAAAAAAAATTGAAAATGCTAAATGTAGTCCGAAAAATGATAAATGTTGATAATAAAATTGTTGATGTAGGCGAAATTTATAAATTCAGATCACATAATTACTGATGCAGTAGGCATATTAATGTAATTGAGGGGCTATTTTGGAATAAAAAATTATAGGGGTATCAGAAAGGGAGAATTTTATGGGTGGATCTAGTGATATTTATCAAGGTTGTAAAAAGCGGTAATCGGGTCGGAGGCGGTCAGGGAGCGACTCACGATTAATCGATGCGACGGTGATTAATCGGTGATAAATCAGAAATAAATCGGTTTTTAAAATTTAATATAATATATTTCTAGATACCTCAAAACATATATAAAAATATATTTAAACATAGTTATATCTCTATCATGTATATATCCTAATAACATAATAAAAATTTAATAATAATAAGATCATATTACATAAATATCCTTATAAAATATAAATATAAAAGCATTTTTTTTGAATTTCAATTTATTCTTATCATTAGTTCTTAACAACAATAGTTAACATAAACAAAATAAAGCATAAACTTATTTTTTTAAAATTAAAATCCCAAGTTTTATTTTGAATTATTAAAAAAAAAAAAAAAACTGATTTTTGCCACCGAAGTTTGACCCGCCTTAAAGGTTTGACCGCCTCAAACCGCCTAAAACCGCCTCACAGACAAAAAACCGATTTTTCAAACCTTTACACTAAAATCGTAAAGGTTTTGGACCGCCTCCGCCTCAGAGACCGATTAATCGGCCGCCTCGACCGATTTTTAGAACACTGATATTTATTAAGGTTTCAAGGTATCTATAGCTAATGGCCCATTATAAATTGGATATGATGCATAGTTGTAGGAATCCCAAATAAATAAAGCATAATGCATAATGAGACTTCAATTAAACAAAAACCCCTGAGTTTAAAATGTTGAAAATTATATCAAGTTTTTAAGAAAATAACAAATTGTTGCTCAAATGAGTTTCCCGCCTTGCATCGATAATAGAATTGATGTGATTCCTACTAAATATCGGTTTGTTACCGTATTAACGGGATGGCCAGTGTGAGGGAAGCTCTAAGATTGAATCGGCATTTTGATGCGAGTGTCTTGCAAGACCACTCTAATATGTGGTTGCATATGGCCCGCTCATTTGGTGCTCATATTGATTGGTTGAACATGACAATGGGCAACGGGAGATATTACCAAAAGTGAAACGTATAACTTAAGGGTAAGATAAATATATGATTGAACTTATTCTACCTTCTAGATTGCAGCAGTGATCGATTCTCTTCGGGGCGGTGGCAAGGCTTAATGTTGGGATCAATCTCGAAATGCAGCGGAATTTTAATTTTTTTTAAAATAATTTTGTATAGAGAAAATCTATCAAAATAAGTTCGAGAATTAGTTCTAATAGCATGCTTGAAATTTTGAAAGAAATGTTATTTACGTATTTTTTGTTTTTGTTTGTTGGTTAGGATTTGATTCGAAATCCTAACTGGTCAATTACACAACCACATATTCAAAATACCTTCTGCATGGTCTTTTAGATGAAACAGTTTACATGAAACAACCACCGGATTTTGAACGCCCGTAATATCAATAGTATATTTGCAAATTAAATGGGGCGTTGTATGGCCTCAAACAAGCCCATCGGGCTTGGTACTCTCGGCTCAATTTTCGCCTCCTCGAACTTGGATTTGTGATGTCCAAATCAAACAATTCTCTTTTCATTTATCCGCGCCATTCCGTGATACAATATGTTCTTTTGTTTGTTGACATCAGTCTGCTAACCGGTTCATGTTCAAAGGCAATTTCAACTTTGATTGAAACTCTTGGTCAAGATTTACCTCTAAAAAAATTGGGAGGGTCGCACTATTTCTTAGGATTGGAGTGTTCTCGATTTGGTTTGGGTCTTTATTTAACACAACGCACGTTTTGGATCTTCTACAACGAGCATGGATGTCTAAGTGTAAGCCCATTAACACTCTTATGTCATCTTCTACTCGGTTGCCGGCTTTTGATTCTAATTCTTTTAAGGATCCGAATCTTTATGGAAGCATCATTGGAACTTGGAAGCGTACAATATACCTTGTTTACTAGACCATACATTGCCTTCTCAGTGAATCGGGTGTGCCAGTATATTGAGATATCTCAAGCACAATATTGACTATGGTTTATGAAAGAATTTATGGTCCTGAATTTGTTTAATACAGAGGTGTTATATTAAGTGTTATGACACTTGTATAAACATGCAGCGGAAATATAAAAACAATACTCAGATTAAAAATGTTCACAAGTAAAAACTTGTGAACTTGCTCTTTAAATGACGTAAAAACTTATATTAAAAACAGTATTACAAGAATACAAAGAGAAGAAGTACAAAAACTTCTTCCTTATGAATGAATCACTAGCTTGATCATTCTTACAACCAAATCTAGAAACAAAAAGATAAATACTAAAAATTCTAGATTTCAAAGAATGTACTCGTGAGAAGTACGTAAAGAACTTCTTTCTTATGAATGAATCACTGTCTTGATCATTCTTACAACCAAGTCTAGAAACATAAAAACTATATACTAAACAATCTAGACTACAAAGAATGTACTCATGAGGAGTACGTAAAGAATGTACTCATGAGGAGTACGTAAAACAGATTCTAAAAACACACTATAAATCTTATGTATTCTTTTCAGCTCTCGGTTTTTATTTCTTAGAATCCTTAACTTTCCTTGAGTCTTGAAGTCGGTAAGTATAGACATTCCAAGCTTCTACTCCTCAGCCCATGATCTGCAAGAAAACCAACTACAAGAGCACTCAAGAACATGGGTTAGTGGGTTAGTTTAGTAGTTAAAATAATATCCACAATTTAACCCACTAAGCACTACTTAGCCCACTAAGCCATATACTTAACCCATTAAGCACTACTTAGCCTATAACTAAAATTTAGTTTAAAAATAAGAAAGTTAAAAAACAAATTGTGGAATTCCACATTCCACGTGTTTCAAACTCCCCATTTTTTAACTTTCTGATTAAAACTAAATTTTAGCTTAACTCCCCCTGAGTCATTGCTTGAACTCCCCCTGAATATGATAACCAATATAGCAAATAACAAAATAGTGCAATCCTAGCATAAAAGTTCAGAGGAAAAATAACAAACTAAACAAAAACAAACATTGTTCATAAAAATAACTTTAAAGCAGAATATCCAAAGTCTCTTCAGTATCAGCTGCTGTTCGTCCATCACTAGCACTGGACCCACTGCTTTCCTCTGCTCCTTCAGCTTCTTCATTAACTCCCTGCTCTCTGCCTCTGGCATCCAAAGGATGAGAAGTCCCTGCTTCAACTTCATGACTAGCTTGTTCTCCCCATTTTTGATCAGAAAGAGCTTTCTGGAGCATCTCCACCATGGACTGATGATAGGTGATCTGAGCTAGGGAGTGAGTAAGCTTTCTTAACAAAAGATCTCGAGGAACAGAAACAAGGATGTCAGGGGTGTTGTCAACATGAGGAGCAACACCTTCAGTACCAAGATTATTTTGACCTGATTCAGTTGGGAGAAAATTATCTCCATTCCAGGGAAGATCTTGGACATGAGGAGCTTTGATAAAATTTTGAGAAACAGTTATCATGCCAAGTGGAGCGTGAAGATATTCTGATTCATCTTGGCCCAAATTTTGAGAAAGCAGAATGGAGTAGATGAGAGAAGGATAGGGAAGATGAGTGGATGAAGAAATTTTCTGGGCAAGATGACCTATGTTGTTGAAGAAAAGTTTGCCAAAATCAACAGGTAACCCCATCCCCAATTTGTACATGAGTACTGCATGAGGTTTAGTAATCACAGAGACATTTTTGGATGGAATCCAATTCATCACTGTGAGTCTGAACAAGACAGAGTAAAATGCAGTAAGTTGAGAAACTTTGAATTTTTTGGGGTGAGCAGGCCAAGATTTTAGACGATTTCCAGAAAGAGTCTTACAAACCTCAGTAAAATCACCATAATTATCCTCATCAATCACAGTAGGAGTTTGTAAGTGAGAGTTGATAATTTTGGGAGAAAAAGAGAAAATAGATTTTCGCACAAAAACTTTTCCAAAGTTTGGAGAATTTTTCTTCAAAAAGGAGGTTTGTAGATTGGCATAAAATTCCTTCACAACAGAGGGATCATAAGGACAAGCAATCTCAACTAGATTAAGAATTTTTCTTTGATCAAGAAAAGCAGTGATCCTATGCCTATCAAAATCATCATTGGAAATTTTCTTTTCCTCAATGAATTGGCAATTCATGATTTGAGGACCCATGTTTGAATCAGATTCAAAATAGAAAGTAGGACTGAAAGCATTGTTTACCTCAAAAGGAGTTGACAGATCCTTCCCATCCAAGTCTAGCTCTTCATCTTCTGAGGGTTCCTCTTCTTCTGAGTCTTCAAGATCATCTGGGATGTATGCTGGCTCAGGTGATGTAACAGGTGGAACAACATCTTCTTCCATCTGGGATGAATCCTCAGAAGAGTCACTGTCTGACTCTGAGGATGGCAAATTCTTACGGAAAGAGGCAAGGGGCACTTCCCAGATGTCATCACTTTTCTCTTCCTCTTCAACCTGAGAAGGTGATGCATCCACTTGAACAGCTGCCTCTGCCAGAGTTTCCAGAGGATCTTCATGTGGAGCTGAGGGTGTTTCTTCGGTGGTGGTAAAGTCCTGGGCATCAACAGTGGGAATATCTACATGCTCAGCAGAAGACATCCCAGAAAAGTCTGGCATTTCCTCATCTACATTGGGAGCAGTATCCTCAGCAGCACTCTGAGGGGCATTGCCTGAGACAGTAGGTGCAGCAGCATTTTCAGGAACATGTGCAGCAACATCTTCGGAAAAAGGATGTTGAGAAGAGGCTGCTGCCATGTTGGGCTGAAGTGTCTCCCCCTGATTTGATGCTGGTGGAGTCGAGTCTTTGGAAGATGACTCAGTGGAGCTTGAGGAGAGAGCTTGGGCTTCTGGTTCTGCAAAAGTATGATCTCCTTCTTCATCATCTGTTTCTTCATCAACCAAATGGAGGCCTCTTGGGGGGTTTTGTCTAACTGGAGTACGACCGCCTCTGCCGCCTCTTCTTCCAACTCTGCCGCCTCTGCTGGGAGAATTTCCTCCCCTCCGGCGTTGTGACCCAGTAGCATTCAGATCTGGGAAGGGATTCATGCGCTTGGACCGGCGAGTAGGAAACCTTTCTGCAGTGGAAGAGGGACCTTGATTCTGGAAATTGTATGGGTCAATCGGATTCAGCTCGTCGTCGGGCTCAATAAAGCTGATCGGCATAGCTTCAAGGTTGACAGGATGAACGATGATGGCTAGATTGGGGTCTGCTGGTTCAGGTGCTGCAGCATCGTTGTGCACATCACCAACAACTGGAAGAGGATTTATAGGAGGAGATGCCAAGGTACAGTAGAGAAAAGGAAAAATTGCTTCTTGTGCTTTTGATTTTTGAGGGTGAATTTTCGAAATAGAAGCAAGATATTTATAAGCCCAAATTCTTGAAAAAAAAATTGAAGTGAAGAAGGTGAAGAAGTGGCGTGCTTTTTTCTTGGAGAAAGTGTGATTAAGGAGAATAAAAGTTTATGTGGCAGTTTAAAACAAAACGTGACACATGGCACAATAAGGAGTGGACTTAGTGGAAGATAAAAGACTAACCCATGTACCCCATGACCCATATAAATAGTGATAATTCCATAATAATAATAATAATAATAATAATAATAATAATAATAATAATAATAATAATAATAATAATAGTAAAAATAATAACACTCACGAAAATTTACACATAAAAAAACACATCTTTTAATGATTAATAGTGAGAAAAAAAATTGGCTAACAGGCATATATATATATATATATATATATATATATATATATATATATATATATTTAAACTCTTATTTTCAAGTCAAACAATTCACATGGAACATGATCAAGTGTTCAGTTTGAAAGTTCCTCAGTTTTCTCAACTATATCACGAATAAAATAATGTTTAATATCTATGTGTTTAGTTCGTGAGTGTTGAACAGGATTTTTTGAAATATCAATAGCACTTGAATTATCACAATATATGGTCAGGGTGTCACTGGTTAACCCATAATCCCCCAACATTTGTTTCATCCAAATTAGTTTACCACAACATCCTCCAGGAGCTACATATTATGATTCAGTTGTTGAAAGTGATACACAATTTTGTTTTCTACTAAACCATGAAACCAGATTATTCCCCAAAAAGAAACATGCACCTGATGTGCTTTTTCTGTCACTAATATCCCCAGCCCAATCAGAATCACTAAAACTTATCAAATTAGTATTAGTGTATTTGAAAAACTGAATACCTAAGTCTACTGTACCTGCAACATACCTAATAATCCTCTTCACAACTTTTAGATGAGTGACTTTGGGATTAGCTTGGTACCTGGCACACACACAAACACTAAACATAATGTCAGGTCTGCTTGCAGTTAGATACAGAAGGCTTCCAATCATGCTTCTGTATAGGGTGTTGTCAACATCCTCAACAACATCGTCCTTGGACAGTTTTTGACTTGATCGATTCCATTGGAGTTTTCATGTGTTTGGTTGACTCCAACTCAAACCTCTTGACCATATTGAGAGCATACTTCTTTTGATTTACAAAAATTCCTTCACCTGTCTGTTTGATTTGGATTCCTAGGAAGTAATTCCATTCTCCTACCATGCTCATTTCAAAAGTGTGAGACATAGAATCTACAAAAGACTGTAAAAGGTTAGCACAAGTAGAACCAAAAACAATATCATCAACATATATCTGTACAACAATGATATGGTTATTTGTTCTTCTAACAAATAGAGTTCTGTCTGCCTCTCCTCTGGTAAACTGTATTTCAAGTAAGAAGTCAGTGAGTCTTTGATACCAAGCTCTATGAGCTTGTTTAAGACCATACAAAGCCTTCTTAAGCTTGAACACGTGATTAGGCTTGGCAGAATCTTCAAAACCCTTGGGCTGCTCTACATATGCTTCTTCATTTAAAACACCATTTAGAAATGCACTTTTGTTATCCATTTGATACAGTTTGATTTTAAGAAAATAGGCTATAGCAAGAAGTAACCTAATAGATTCAATTCTAGCTACTGGAGCAAAGGTCTCATCAAAATCTATACCTTCTATCACAGTGTAACCTTGTGCTACTAACCTAGCCTTATTTCTAACAACTGTACCTTTTTCATCAGTTTTGTTCTTGAAGATCCACTTAGTTCCTATCACATTAACATGACTTGGTCTAGGAACTGAGTACCAAACATCATTCCTGATGAACTGATTCAGTTCTTCATGCATTCCATTGATCCAAAACTCATCCTTCAGTGCTTCTGCAATATTCTTTGGTTCAACTGAAGATACAAAATAAGTAGTTCCAGTTAGTGCACATTCAGAAGATAAATTTGCAACTCTTACCATATCTCTGTAATTCACCCTCTATTTTCTTCTGGTCCTTATCCCATCAAAGATATCTCCCATAACTTGAGTAGATGGGTGATTTTTCTGGATTCTACTGGATGGTTCCTTTCTGCAAACATCATGAGTTGGTTGTGTTTCAACTTTTGTGTTCTCCGTAGGAAGTATTGAGTCAGATGTGGTAACACTTGCTCAACACCCTCTTCTCTTGACACTGGACTGTTTATATCTGGAGCACCTGTGGCAATAGTGTCTCCACCGGTTGTTTCTCCTTCAGCAATCAGGTCATCAACTTCATCTTCAGTTTTTTTAATGCGGAGATCAACAAAGTCATCAAATACCACATTTACAGATTCAATAATGGTTCGAGTTCTTAAGTTATATACTATATATGCATGACTGTTATTAGAGACTGATCCGTGTTTTGTGTTTTGGATTAGGGATTTATCTGTAGTTTCCCCTTGATTTTAAATGAATATTGTTTCTATGAATGTTGACTAATATATTTTATAAATTTTTAGCAATAAATATTTCTAAAGTTTTCATTTCAGTGAATAAATCCCAAAAAAATGATACATGTTTGATTTTAAAAGAATCACATTTTACATAAATAATATATTTCCTAAATGCTTATAGCAAAATTTCAAGTAATAAATATGATTTTTTTTTTTTATTTATTAAATACATCTAAAATAAAATTTGGCAAAATTTTGTAATGTAGAAATATACTAGTATATTTTAATGTATGCATAAATATACTATTATATTTTAATATAATATTCGAGTACATATATATTTGAGCACGACATATTTCATAAACCAATATACACAAACTATCAATTTAATTATAATTACCAAGCAATACTAAACACAAAATAAATTAAAATGTCTTAATACTGTTAAGCTCCCAACATTAAAAAAAAAATTCAATCAAACAAAAAAAAAAACCTATTTAGGGTCTTCTTATGGACTTGCACCATGCACTTCAGTGACGTTTTTGTTGGAATACACAAAAATTGATTAGTTTTCTTCACAAAATGGTTTTCAACACCTTTTGTTTTTCATCCTTGTACTTCTGTGATTCTTCCTCGAATAAATCCCAAAGAAATCTTTATCTTTTTGGCCAATGTATCCAACAACATCTGCAAATTGCTTGGATATATGCTACACGAAAATAGATCAATGAACAATATATTATTAATTACATATTAGTTATAGAAAATATAATAGAAAAAAAAATGAATATAACCTTTGATTTCTGAAATTTCAAGATGTAGTCACATTTTCTACAAATCCATAGACCTTTTCTGTATCCGATATTAGTCGCTTATAATACATGACTTAGCAGTGTCCATATCTATAAATCATTAACAAACAAAAAACTATTGTTAGATATCATGTATACATATGTAAAAGACGGAACAAAAAAAATAATGTAAACTTAATTATGATCAAGTAGTTATCATGTGCATAGAAACAAATGAATCATAATGATTTATTTTGTCGGAAAAAAAATATTCGAAAAAAATGTACACAAAATATGAATTTCAATATAATTATCAAAAAGAAAAAGTAAAAAACTAAAAAAAAGAAACATAGAAAAAAATCCTCTCTCTCTCTCTCTCTGGTTTTAACTTTGAAAATAAGAATGATGGTGATGAATTAGGTAGTATGAGATTTTATAGTTGTGTTATAGATGTGTTTATGCGACAAAAAATTAAGCAATGTGTAAATACAGAAATAATTAATTAACAGTAAAACAAAGATTTTGAAGATTGGCTTTTTGAATTTGAATTTTGAAATAAATTAAATACATGTTTAAATAAGGAAAACCCAAAATCAATATAATTAATGGTATGCGTCAATCTTGCTAAATCATAATCATATATATATATATATATATATATATATATATATATATATATATATATATACATGTAATTTATCCTCATATGTTTATACATAGGACATATATATCTAATTCATATATTCAAAATCCATAGGAATATATGTAATATCCTTGAATGAAGTGCAATTTCAAAATTTTCACAAAATAACATCATTGATTTAAATTAACCGGAATATATATAATTATAGTTCATGTTATTTAGGAAAAAATAATATCTTTTTCCATAATTAGAGAAATAATATATATTGTAATTTATATTAATTGGTAAAATATTATGGAATATGGAAATGATCTCCATCAAATTAATTCACAAAATATGAATATCTTATACTAAGTTAGTAAGTTATTAATTAATGTGTGTTATTGTTGGTAAGTGTATTGAATAATTAATTTATGGGATAATTAGCAAGAACCCCCTCATCTAGGTAAATGAGTTAAGAAAACACCCTCTTCCAAAAATAATTAGAGAAAACCTCCTTACCTAACATTCCACCCAAGTGATATTTTCATAATTCCAAAACTACCCTTAATTATCTACTATACTCTTTCAAACCCTAATCTTATTTTCTCTTTTCTTCCGTCTCTTCTTTCCCCGTCCATTCTCTGTTTTTTTTCTCCATTTTATACTTTTCTCTCTCAATTCTTAGATTACTCTCTCTTGATCGGAAGATGAAGAACCAACCGGAACGGAACAACGATGATAATTCCGTTGAAGCCATTGTCGTCGGTGCCGTCTCCTTCGCCGTCGCTGTCGAAGTCGGGGTCGGGGTCGTCGTCGGCAGATCTTAACAAAAGCCATAAATTGTCGATTTGTCATCGAAATCGGATTTTTGATGGGTGGTGGTTCTGATTTGGTTGGTGGTGCGAGTTGTGATTTTATTTATTTATTTGTAATTAAAAAATCATCATAATATCAAAGTAAGGTGATGATGGTGTGTTGTGACGGCAGTGTGGTGACGACGGGGAGGCAGATTTAGGGTTTTTTGGTGGATTGAACGGATGAAGGCGCGTGTAGAGAATTTTGCGCAGGCTGTTACGTTAATCGACTATGTACATGTTCATAGTCGATTAAGCTAATCGACTATGCTCTGGTAGTCGATTAAGGTTCATCGACTCCAAATTTTTTTTAATTTTTTTTGGATTTTTTGTTTATTGCTTTCAATTGTATAAATCATTTATAATATTTGTATATTTTTTTGTTTTTGTAATATATAGTTGATTTTGTATTTTCTTCGCAGTTGTGATTTGTTATTTTTAGTAGCAGATTCTTAATCGACTATGCTTCACATCATAGTCGATTACTATACCTGATATAAAAAAAAAAAAAAAAAAACAAACAAATTAAATAATTAATAATTTCCTTAATCGACTATGAAGCATAGTCGATTAAGGCTAATCGACTATGCTTCATAGTCGATTAAGGAAACTGATACAGAAAAGACGGAAGAAAAAAAAAACGGAAAAAAAAAAAAAATCGCTGAGCGTGACCCAGTGATGGTGTGGCGGGCGGGGGCAAAGCTGGAAAGCATAATGGCTGAAAATGGGTGTGGACTTTTCTCAAATGGACTAAAATATTTTGGGCCCCCCTCCATTAAAAAAAGTAGTGAGGAGGTTTTCTCAAAGTGCCCCTTAATTTATATGAGTCTATTAATAAGGTGATAAAAATGGAACAAAAAATGCCATATTGGATATGAGGTGGAAGCCACATAGATATGCCACATGTCGGTTTTTTAAGTTATGAGAGTTTCGATTTATATATTATATATATTTTTGTATTTATTTTCGTATTTGTTATGGTTGAAAACATCAAACACAAACGATTTCATTTTCGGCCCTTGAATACACGAGTTTAAGGCCTGAAAATGTATGTATACGACATTGTTCGATTTCTGCAATTTATTATTCTAAGTGTGAATTAGTTTGCTTGATAGGTACCAATAAAATGTTGCTCGTGTTTAAATATTACTCAACCCTCCTAATGCATAGTGATAATTGATTTAATCCTACGATTGAGAGTGACTCAATAAATATTTTAAATACATGCTAGAAGGCCAATGGTCGTACAATAGAGGGGTTTCCAAGGAGATTTTAGAAATATCTATTTGACTCCTAATGCATGCTGATAATTGATATAAGCCTACAATTGAGAGTGACTTATTAAATATTTTAAATACATTTTGAAAGGCCAATGACACTACAAAATACAATAAAAAGGAGATCGCTTAGAAATATCTATATGAGAGGTGTTAGGTACATAAGTGTTTTCTCTAATTTTATAATTATATACTTGTTCTTTCTTCTTTCAAGTACAATATACTAATACATGTAACTACTTTGAATGATTCATATGAATTAAACGAATTCAGTGTTTGATAGGTTCCTATAGTTCTACTTTCTTTGTCTTACTCAAAAAATAAATTTGTTTATTATGAAAATTAGGTGTAAATTTGTGAAGAATTTAAAGAGATCATTCCAATGATTTCAAACTATAATCATACTGTGACGCCCACCTTCTTCTACGTGAAGCGTTTGTCAAATTACTCTATGAAACTACCTGATCTATTTTTATTAATAATACTAATTCGATCTATAACTCAGAAAGATACGTACGATTTATTTATTAACTACCTCACGTCTAGCAAGCTAAAGTACAAATGTTCCGAACAGTTGTTTGTATCTTAAGATATTACAATACTAATAATATGAATAAGTGCAAACGCTGATGTTTATAATACAAACAACGATTATTGGCAACTTAATTCAAACCACTATTTTACAAATATAAACAAGGTAGCTACTCGGACGGGAAATCCTCTGATTCATTCAAGCTTGCACCTGTGTCTGAGAATATGACAGAATAAAGTAGATGGATAAGTCATAGAAGACTTAGTGAGGTGAAATATAAGAATAATGAGTTATAACATGACCTGAGAGAAAGTTCGATGATCGAACCATTAGGTGATATCGGAAAATAGAAGCGTTTAAGATTATATTTCGATTGGAAATTGAAGAATAACAGTAAGAATGATCAATCGATTTTCCGATCAATAGAGATAAGGATAAACCAACCTTGTAAACCGTAGTCGTTTACTACCTTATGTAATGTGGCATGCACGGGCGCATGCCGATTTAGCCTGAAACCCAACTAATCTCTAGTTGTGTACGGGTCTAAACCTATGTGGGTACTGTTGGAGAGACTACCCACCGTCGGCCCGATACCGCCCAACGGTCACCTCCAAACAGCCCCAGGCCCATCAATATCCTTTTTCCTTGAGGCGTCCTTGTCGAGCTCGAGCTCGAGCGCGTCGAGTTCTTCTTTTTTTGCTCGAGCTCGAGCTCGTGTTAATTTTTTCGAGCTCGAGCTCGAGCCCAATTTTTTTTTTTTTTTTTTTTTTTAATTTTTTTTAGTTATTATTTTATTATTAAAAAATATTTAAAAAAAATACAAAATAAAAACTAATTGTGATTATATATTTTTTTAATATTTGTATTTATTTCTATAATATTTTATATTATTATACATTATTTAAATAAAAATAACATATAAAAAATAAAAAAATAATAATAAATCCGGCTAGCGAGCTGATGAACAACTAAAATTCGGCTCGAGCTCGGCTCGTCAGAAAGCTCGAGCTCGAGCTCGGCTCGTCAGAAAGCTCGAGCTCACGAGCTCGAGCTCGAGCTCACGAGCTCGAGCTCGAGCTCGAAAACCTCGAGTCCGAGTTCGATCTTTTTACGAGCCGGCTCGTCGAGCTCACGAGTCGGCTCGGCTCATTTACCATCCCTACTTAAAAGTATGGAGGTGCTTAGACACCCATTAAATCAAAGAAGTGTTTGCTTAATATGTAAGGGTGCGGTACCTTTTCATGAATTATTTTCTAAAGACTTATTATTTTTTGCCACAACTATTGGGAATCAATAAATAGATCCTTCAGTCCATCGTATCACATGATATTCACTCCATTCCATATTTGTTCGTTGGAGTTCTTTTTTCTCTAGCCTGAAAATATTCTTTGTGAATATTTTATTCCGTCTTTTTATTGAGGGTTCACAAATACATTTGAGGGTTCGTAGATTTCGAGATTTGTAGTGCTACAATATCGAAATAAGATCGTTATATATTAGGAAACAATTACTACAAAACCTTAAGCACTAATGCGAGGTAATAATGTCTTAAGGACAAAGAATCAAGTTCTTGCCTCGATCATCTTGCTAAATTCACCGCCCATTATCTACTTTACCTTAAATTAAATGCAAGCCTATGCATTTTCGAATCATATACTGTCCAATTATATGTTGTGGGATGGTATAAACAAGTTAAACCTAAATATGGTAAACATGCTAATATTATTTGGCGCAAATAAGTAAGGAAAAAATATTCTATAAGGGGTTTTTGTGCATTAGTCCCTCACCAATTATTTTTATTATCTTAGATTCAGTGGTTATATCTCTTTCACCAATAAGCCCATCTCTTCAATATATATTACAAATTAAGGAAACATTAATGTATATGACAAAATTACACCCAACCCTTTACACCCAATTCCTAACCGAACCCCTATTTAATCACTTTTGACCACAAAAATTCGATTTTGAACTTTTTTTCATAAATTATTTTTTGGCACCGTCTGGCGTTGACTTTCTGATATTTTTTTATGGTCTGTTTTTTCCGCCACCGGTTTCCGGCGTTAATTTTTTTTACTAAACGTTGACCGTAATTGTGATGTCTTTAACAGTAATTATATTGTCACTGATAGTAAATTAACGTAATTATACTGTCTTTGACAGTACATTAACGTAATTGTGCTTTCGTTGGCAGTAGATTTATGTAATTGTACTGTCGTTGATAGTACAATTAGAGTCAACGACAATATTATTATATGTTTGGTTATTTTTTTTCATTTTGTTTGATTTGTTGACAGGTCAACGTAATTATATTACTGTCTTTGACAGTAAAATAACTGTAAATGCAATTATATTACTGTCAACCACATCAATATTATTATTTTTTTTAGGTTTTTTGTTTTGTTTGAGTTACTGACGGAGTAACGTAATAATATTACTGTCTATTATTGTAATATTACTGTAAACACAATAATATTGTTGTGGTTGACGGTAATATTACTGTTGTTACACTAATATTACTAATATTACCGTCAACCACAGTAATATTAATTCTTTTGGCTTTTTATTATGTTTACCTTTGTTGAACGATCAACATATTAATATTACTCGATTACACAATAATAATGACTTTTGTTGTGTTAATATTACTGTGTTAGAGATTAATATATCAATATTATTATGTTAAACTGTAGTACAGTTAATTTTACTGTGTCAACCACAACAATATTACTGCTTAAACGGAAGGCAAAAAATATGTTAAAGAACAAAAAATTCAAAAAAAAAATCGAAAAAATCAATGCTGGAAACCGGCAGAAAACTCAAGAAAAACAAGAAGTCAACACCGGAGACCGGCAGTCAACGGCGGCGACGGACGAAATCGTCCATAAAATTGTGTGTTGGGTCAAAATTGAATAATTTGTGTAATTTGGGTCAAATTGAGGTTAGATTAAATTGAAGGATGAAATTAGAGCATATTAAAATGTGAGGGGCTATTTTAATCTTTTACACACCTCTGAACTATGTGTGTATTTTTTTATAAATATTTTTTATCTGAATCTCTTTACGAATAAGTACCCATTTAACATATTTGTAA